TTTTGTTTGAGCAACTGAAATTACATAGCTTCTTTATTTTGGTAAGAAATATCATTATTATTTATCTAGATTTCTTTCATAAAGTCTGCCTAAGATGCCTCTTTGAATGATTGCATTTGAGCAATAAAGTTAATTGTATTAACAATAAGTAAATGCATATAATTTGAAACTAATTTCCATAATATTTCTAATTTTTTTACGATCGCACATATGATCATGCATATGATTTTTGTATCGACATGCAATTTTTGTTTTTTGCATACTATCTAACATAGACTATCTATTGGACATTAGCTATTATAAGATCTTATCAATAATAATTATAGCACTTATGCACATTTCAAGCAAACTTAGGCCCAAAATCCTATTTCAGATAATACATACAAAAATAAGCAAAAATTTTGAATACATACAAAAATAAGTAAAAATTTTGAAATTTTGAATGACCGTATATATGATCATCGAGAAAGTTGATTTTTGGGTTTTGACTTTCCAAATCAACTTGGGATTTAACTAGCCATTAGAAAGACTTTTTGACCAAATTGTAGCTTATAAATACCCCACACCATTAAGGGGTTAGGAATCCACATTGCTAAAATCCTCCAAGCTTCTCATTCTCAACATCCATCATAAAGCCTTCAAACCACACCTTAGAGCAAAATAAAGTGCAAAAGCCTACAAACTAGTGCTTTTGTGCAAGACATCTGTGAAAGTGTCGATCTTTCTTCTTCGATGACCAAAACAATGAAAAATAGTGTTTTTTTTTTTTTCATTTCAATATTTAATTTATACTTTGGATTGAAGACTTGGTCATTGTCATTTTGTATCATATGTATTGGATTTCACTTAGTTGTAAAGCGTGTGTGAGAGTGTGATGATTTAATTGAAATATTTTCAAGAACATAGTCACAAAACTATGATGTAAAAAAACCTCTAAAATTATATTATGGAAACCACATTACCACAAGTCTTGCATAAAATTATGTCCATCATATTAAGATTAAACACATTGATACAAACCAATATTTCATCTCAAAAAGGTTAAAAATAGACCAGCCAACAAATTTTATGTTCCAACAATCTCTCAAATTGTTGATATCCTCAACAAGGAGTTACTCGGGATAAGTTTTGATAATCTAATTAACAAGTTAGGCATGATCAACATATACAACCAAGGTTGAGGGAGTGTTAAAATAATCATCAGCTTACCATATATAGATGTCCAACAATTTGTGGACAGCAACTTTCCATCTACAATAATCCAACATCTTATAGATAGCATCATTCAATTTCTACTACATAGCTAATTATGGATTTCAAAATTAATGACTGGTTTCCATATTTGTCTTGTTACTAGATAATTATTTCTCCACTTATATGTATATATATATATATATATATATATATATATATATATATATATATATCGATCATAAAATCTCTCAATTTCTACTCTCCTCTCATTTTGTTCTAATTTTCAAGAGAATCTGATAATTGCAAATGCGACCCAAACTCATTCCAAGACCCTCGAATATAAAATTAAAAGTAATGGCATTAATAACCCATACAAAAGCTACATTAAACACCACTTTGAATATGTATAAAGTCAAAAACTGCAAGAAAGACTTTTTTGAAACTTATTAAGACCCACTCAATTTCATACAAAAAACTAAACTGCATACTTTTATGTAATAATTATGCACCACGTTCATCGACATCGACTTGATTAGTTCCCATCTACATAAATGGGATACCAAGATGCCCTTCAACCTATGATGCACCGACACTCCGTTTTAAGAGGCAGTGCAGTGTCGGACACGTGTCGGACATGGACAAGCGTCCGACAAGACGGGGACACGTGTCCGACATGTTTTGAGTGTGTCCAGTCTTTTTTTAAAAAAACTTAAGCGGGACACGCGTGTCCGGCTATTTCATAATTTAAATTAAAAAAAAAAAAGGAAAACACATCTAGTAAGCACCGGTTCATTCCCGAGTCCGCCCTAATCCCGCTATTTGCATTCATTCGAGTGAAGGCAGCAGAGTCTTCACGCGACTCGCGAGCAGCCGCACTCACGCACCGTCGAGATTCTTCCAGGCTCCAGCCCGCACCGTCGCCTTCAGTTTTCGGCCGTCCTGAGCAGGCGAGCACTCATTCCCATTTCTCATTCTTCTTCTGCGTGCTGCCGAGCGAACCATCGACCAGAAAAAAATTTCTGTAAGTTAGATTTCGATTTTTTTTTTTTTTGTCATTCATCATTTCTCTCAATTTTTTCTCATTTATCATGTGGATTTGTGTTCACAAGAGCATGTTATTTTTTTCTTAAATTACTTTGGTTGTTTTGGGTTTTGAAAAAAAAATACCTAAATCAAACCCTAGTTTATAGGTTGTGCGATTGTTCTTGTTTTTACCTAAATCAAACCCTAGGTTGTAGATTGTAGGTTTTTTTTTGCTTTTGGTTTTGGTTGACAAGAACAAAAGAATGGTAGAGAGTTTGCAAGTTGCAACCCTATTCTCTTTGTATTTTTTTCATGCATGTAAATCATTATTACAATGAATGGTAGAGAGTTTGCAACGTCAATCTCTTTTCATCCTAGTTAACAAAGTCAATCTCTTTTTTCATGCAACGTCAACCTTCTAAACTTCATGACATTCTCCTATCACATAATACTTGTCTATTTCAATCTTAACTCTAAAACTTATATTCTATTCCATAACTCTATTCTTCTATTAAAAAGATCACAATACTTAAACCTACCATACATATGCATCACTTTATCCTTGGTATGATAAAAAGCATGATAAAATCTTTTATAGAACAAGGCTTAGTGATGCAAGCATGGCTCAGTCTAATATTTCTAGAATTCCTATTCACTTGATTGTAGAAGGCCATGCCAAAAATGTTTAATAAGTATTAATATCCAATAAATATGGCATTGTTTATTGTTGATGTAATCATAAGTGTTCAAATCTTATGAAGTCATCCTTCATTTATTGAAGTATTAAAAAGAACGATATGACAACATAGTATAAAAGTCATCCTAGTTCTTGCTTTTGCGTTTGGTTTTGTAGGTTGTTCTTGCATTTTGAAATAGTGATTTTATTGTGAGAGAGATTTATGTTTTTATTGAAATGAGTTTGAGATATTTATTAAGCCTTTATTACTTCCATTTAACCAGTGCATTTTAAAGCAAAATGAGCTCTACGGCTGGTGGGAGTGGATTAGGCGAAGGTTCAAAAGAACAATCTGTAGAAAATGATAAGCCATTCATTAAATCCAAGGTACATTTATATTCATCTTTTAAATTAATTTAAATTTCTTGGTTAATGAACATATAATTTTATATGCTTTGTATTATATGAAAGTATTCAAGTAAAGAATGGCTTCTAGAAGACCGTCAACGTGTCTCACCACAAAAAGATTTAGAAGTTTCAAATATGCGAAAGATATGCTTGAAACGATATTTCCCAAATGAGGAGAGAAGAAAAATTAATATAGAACTTGCAAAGTTCTTTGGATATTTAAAGGATTTTGGTGATCAAGAATCTTTGGTTGATAGATGAAGGATGGATCCAAAAATGTGATGGTTAATTCATGGAGCTTCGGCACCTCTTCTTTAAATAATAGTAATAAAACATATTGGTCAAGTATCATCCTCTTCCTGTTGTGAGAGAAATTAGAGCACATACTCATTTATTCAATCAATGAAGAGGAATAAAATAACTTCACAACGAGCTGAAGATTTAGTTTATGAGCATACAAATCTTCATCTTCTATCAAGGAAAACCCCACTTTATATGACAAGTGATAACAAGATGTGGGATGTTGCTGGAGATGGGTTCAAGTGCCTTGATGATATGGGATTATTGAATGTTGCAAATCTTTCTTTAGATGAACCAGAGTTGGAAGCAATGATATTCAATGATGATGATATTAAAGGCCAAAGACAAACTTCTGAATCTAATTATATCATTCCCTCTATTGAGTAGTTGGACTTTCATGTTGTACTAAATAGTTTTTTTGTTATATTTTTGTTATTGTACTAGACATTTTGTACTAAACATCTTTATGTTATAAGCTAAACAAGTTATCATGACAAATTTATTATTGCTTGTCATTTTTAATATAATGTCACATTAATTTCTGCATATTATATTAAAAATTTATTATGACGTGTCCACGCCGCACCCGTGTCCTACATTTTTAAAAAATGTCATGTCCGTGTCGTGTCCGTGTCTTCGTGTCCGTGTTGTGTCCGTGTCGGTGCATCATAGCCTTCAACTTGCATATTAGACAATATTTACACTAATCAACATTTATTTTTTTCATCTTCATTATTTTCATTATTATGATTGTATTTCTTAACATCATTATTTTGAACGCCATCAATTTTATCTTATTTATTTAGGGATCACTTTTTAAATCCTTCTCCATTCATTCTTTTACAGAGTTTTAAGTATTATTTTCCTCATCCAAGTTTTGTAAACATGCTATGTTTGACCACCCCCAAATCCTTTATTTTTATCTAAGAATTGAAATATTTCACAATTGACTAACCGAGTATGGTTTCTAATATTATCGTTCTTTGATTCCATTAAGTACTATTTGCCAAATGTAACTTTCATGTGGCATAACACTCATCATCTCTCAACTATTTGAAGTTAGCTTTAAGAATCCTCATTTTCCATTAATTCATGTTGAGTATTGAATGAAGTATCAAAGCTATTTTGTGTAATTCTTTATGGGCAACTTCCATGAATGTCATGTTAGGTCTAATGGATGAATTCTTTCTCATTATATATATAAGCCCGAGCCACCTAACTTTATATGGGAAAAGACACAACTAATATTCAACAAATACAAAAAGGCTATCAAAGTAAGCATATTGTCAAGAATTAAAAAACTGAAAAATCATAACATCAAAGAAAACAAAGGGAGTGAAACCCTATCAGAAATATAATGCATGTTAATGATAGTTAAGAAAAATGAATAGCAACTCACCCCCATTTGACATTACTTTTGGCAATCTGCCCATTCACTTGAAATATCACATAGGGGTCACTTGTTCCCTGATGTTAACAGCGGAAAGTAAATTTGATCATTAAACAATAATTATAAATAAAATTGCTCCTTAGAATTAAGATGTTAACATATCAACTTGACCAAACTGGAAAGCTATGTATTAGCACTTGACACATATCAGTTCATGTGTAAAAAAGGTGATTTCCTAGCCTGAATACATTATTTTTTTCAACTAACAAAATCAAATTTTAGTTCCATCATATGATGAAAATGGGATGCTTCTTAAGGTTTGAAAAGCAAAGAATTAATGTAAATGATAACTTGAAAATATCATGTTCAAGCTCAATAAAATGCACATTACAAAAGACCACATCAAATTCATTATCTACTATCTTAAACATAAGATTAGGTAGCCAAAATCAATTTTAATGTTCTAAACAGCTCAAAATTAAGGAGCAGTTAGTTCCCAATGAAGCTGTCAGTTCCTAATATTCAATCTACAAATACAATAATAACAATGTGCCAATGACCCATTCTTACCATACTGATTTTGGAAGCTCTATATGGTTCACTACAACTCACTCAGAAAAAGGCTACAACTATAAGAGAGAAAGAACACACCCATGGATCCATTGCTGGAAGGTCCACACCTTTTAGTAATTTGATGTAAAGCTGACCATCGTACACCTCACGAAGAAATGAACTGCATAGATCATAAAAGTAATGTATTCAGTTTGACAGTGAATCAGAAAAAGGAATGAAACTCAGGGAAATTTTAACAATCAGTCAGAATCACCCACCATTTTAAATGATTCTCAGACATCTCATTTCTATTAAGACCCCACAAAGTCAATGCATTTGGAACACAATTTATATGACATTATATATAAGAGTGATGTGAATGATATGCAGGAAAAAGTTGGGCCAACTATATATTTATTATGATATATATAATATATAGATCATGTTGAAAATTCAAGGATTTGATGGGGTGTAGACTGTAGAGCATATTTCACATTGAAAAAATGGAGTTGCTTCATCTACTGGTATAGCCGTATAGATATATAAAAAAATTCATCACCACAAATGAACATAGTTTAGTTTGAAGGAGTTGAGAGAAGAAACGAAAATGAAATGGAAATACTAAACAACATTAATTGAAAATAGCTTTTCCCACTTGTTTGAATAAGGAGAAAGTTAGTGGAAAAGTAATTTCTTTTTTTTTTTTAAGTAATAGCCAATAATTTGAAGAATGAACACAACCTAATATTATTCACGCTTCATGTTTTACTTCAGCTTTTCATTGGGTTTCATCAAAAATACAAAAAGAAATATACATGTTATAATTTTCTTCATAAAATCAATTTCTTGCTTATAGCAGTCAAACCAAATGATTAAAATGTAAGTTGATGTAAGAAATTTTTCCTATCCAGTATATCCAAAGTAAATACAGTACAAAAGAAAAGAAAGAAAAAAAAATCAGAAAATAAAATGAATTCAACTCCTACTCTGAAAGAATCACCGTTTGGCACTGAGCTGGATCTGTTTCACGCCACCCCATATCTTTCTACAAGAAAAGCAGAGGTCGAAAACACATTCCAAATCCTCAAACCAAAAGTTTCGAAGTGTCAAATATTCCTACCGGAGGGCTGGTGTAGGCTTCGAAGGCGAATCCTGCGAGAAGGACGGCGAGGTTGAGATCGAAAGGAGGACGGCACTCGCCATCACCAGCCGAGCTCTCCTCATCCTCAGCCGTCAAACAATAACTCACCGATGAAAGGCCTTCCTTTCCTCTCCGCTTTGAGCTAAAAAAGCTAGCTTTTTTAGGGTACCGAACGAGGAAGATGTGAACTTTGTTGAGGCGCGAGAAGAATCCCGTAGGTGCAGGAAGGAAAGGATTGATGAGCAATGAACGAAGGAGGTGCTCAGATTCTGTAAGATACACCATTAGAGAGAGGAAGTGAGTGTGTGTGTGCGCGTCTGAGGAAGAAGAGAGTCGAGAACTGTACAGCAGGGATAAGGAGCTGAGCATTGGCGAACTTTGTTCTGAATTGAACTTCCAGGAATGAACGAGTATCTTCTTCAATAAAAAAATAAAAAAATATCGAATAAGACAGAAATAGAACTACAATTCTAGTAAATTCTGAAGAAAATCTTCAGAATTTATCACTGTTTTGAAAATCGGATCGGACCGGCCGGTTCAACCGGTTCAACCGTGAACCGGCTGGTGGCCGGTCCGATCCAACTTCAGAACCGGCTCTGAATAGAACCGGATCAAACCGGATTGAACCAGCGGTTCAACCGGTGAACCGTTGAACCGGTCCGAGTTGGAAAGAACCAGCCAGTTCATAAAAATATTTTATTTTTGTTTTAATTAAAATTTTAAAAATATATTTTTGTTTATTAATTTTTTTTAACTTTTAAAAATATTTTTATTAAATATGATGATTAATTTCATCATAATACTTGTAAGTTTTCTCAGATAACTCACATAATTTATTTTGCAAAGAGAGTGTACTTCTCACTTTATAAAGGGTTCAAGGAAACAACTTCAAACTCCCCCTATGATGTGGGACTAAAAATGTTGCATGAATAGTTTAGAATGTGAATTTGAGCTTATTTGGGCTAGTTGGGCTTCAATTTTTTTTTTAGTTTGGCTAAAAATTTGAATGATATGTATTATAAATTTGCTATAATATATATTATAATTATTATATTCGATTTTCACAACCTTGATAATAATAGACTAAATTCTTTTATATATGGAAGAAATGTATCTATAATTTATTTATTTTTTTAAATACGGGATCATAAAATTTGAAGCCCCTTGAAGAGGTTGTTTGGCAACAAGTAGGATTCAACTTTATCTATCTAAGGGGTTGTTTGGCAACAAGTAGGATTTAACGCAAATAGGATTTAGTAAATCCTGTGAATTTGGATTTACGAAATCTTGAGTTTTAAATCTTTATTAATTGATATTATGATCCTTAGGAAGATAAATATTATATTCATTTAGAAAATTAAATGGGTGTGAGAGAAGGCTAATGAGATTGATAGTTTAGTGTTTAAACTTTGGTATTCTAATAGGAGTCGTATTAGAAATGGTATGTGTGATTATATATGAGTATGAAAGATAAAGTTGTAAAATTGATAGAATTGAAAATAGAATTATAGCTTTGAAGATTATTGTTAATGATAAATTATTAATATTATAAGTTCTTATGCTCCTCAAGTAGGATTGTATATGTGCTCAAAATTAAAATTTTGGAATGACTTAACAGAATTAATACTGCGATATCATGCAAAAATTATCTTGATCGGGCAGGAATCTCGAGGCAAAATCAACCCGGAAGCTTCAAAAATTAAATATGGGATCACCTGAACTCCGTTTTCAGTAAACTTATAGTCAAACTTAGCGTCTCGGAAATACGAACCCAACGACACCAAATTCGACTCAATCCAAGCCCAAATGAGTCCAAATCAAGGACCTGAAGCGCTGTTGGAAGGTTCAAACCACAATTTGGATTACCAAACAATTTCCAAACATGACATGCTTATAATCGAATTGAGTGGCTCGACGAGACGAATCCAACGAGCCAAAGATTGCCAAGTTATGACACCACTAAGACCTTCAAATGTCTGATGAACAGTCCATGATCAAGGGATTCAATATCGGTCATCCATCGAACCACTCCACATTTGCCCTTGATCCTCCTATTATTTACAGGCCATGCCACTCCATAATATCTATAAATAGACCCCTCATTTCTCTTGAGAGATGATCTAAGCAAGAAGCAAGAAGCAAGAGAGGAAGGAGAAGAGAAGAGAAGAAGGACATGAGGGAAGAACTCCTCGACCACCGCCGCTGGAATTATGTCCAAGTGACGCCAGAATTCAACCCGACTTCCACGAAAAGCCGGAATTCTGTCCAAGTGATGTTGGAATTCAACCCGACCTCCAAGTGACGACGGAATTCATCCCAACGTTTAAGTGGTGCCGAAATTTTGCCCGACCTCCAAGTGACGCTAGGGTTTCACCTGAACTCTAAGTGACGCCCGAGTTCTGTCCGAATATCATCTAATGTCATAGTTCTCCTCGGCCGCTAACTGACATTGGACTTCTACCTGACATCGGACCTCCGCCAAGTTTCTACCCGACGTCAGACTTCTACCTGATGTCGGATTTTCACCAAACATATATCTGATGTTGGATTTCCGTCCATTGTCGAATTCTACCTGACACTGTCCTTTCTACCTTTGTTGCCAGTTGACTACAGTCCTTTTGACTTACGTCGCTCACCAACTATAGTCCTTCTAACCTCCATCGCCAGCCGACTATGGTCCTTCTAACTTACGTTGCCCACCGACTACAGTCCTTCCGACCTCCGTCGCCTGCCGACTATAATCCTCCTGACTTACGTCGCCTACCGACTATAATCCTTCTGACCTCTATCGTTAGCCGACTACGGTTCTCCTGATTTACTTCACCCGCTGACTATAATCTTTCCAACCTCCATCGCCAGACAACAGTCTTTATGACCTCCGTCACTAGATTATGGTCCTTCTAACCAGACGAACACGTCAACCGTGATTCTCTGTATTTTTAACATGTAATTTACCCTATAAGATGTACATCAAGTTAAGGCATTCCCCCAAGGAAAGGCCTTATTTGTAATCAACTACAATACTAGTGGATTCATTCAAACTGGGCTAGGCCCCGTGGTTTTTTCTCCTTTTCAGGGATTTTTCATATAAAAATCTTGGTGTCTCTCATAAATGCTAGAGAATGACGCACCCTCTCTATTTATCTATCGGCATATCGAATTTTCGTACAATGCTAAGATGTTAAACCTTATATTTCACTACCGCCGCGAATACTCCAGGACGTAACAATTTGGCGCATCTGTGGGAACATGGTTCCCGACTAGGGGGCAAATTTTTCTCCAATCTCAGAAGGCCATTCATGTGAACTTCTTGACATCAACCATTACTGCATTAATTTTATAAGAATCAGATGCGGACTAAGGGGCAACTTTGACTTCGATCGTGGTTAAAAAGATCCTCTAATGCTTTCAATATGAAGAAGATATTTTAGAAAAACTCCAGCAAATACAAGGATACTTTCAATCACTTGCAAGCTGTATATAGTCTTTTGCTCTACTCTTTGGGCAAGGTTTTAATCTTGACCACAAAAAGGTAGTAACAGTCTAAAGATAGATCATTCTTTACATTTGATTCGGGATACACGTGGCATTCGCCTCCTCCCAATCAAGGCAAAATCAATCCCAAGGGGATTTGATTTCACCTCTTCCATACAGGTTAACGTCATCGAGCAAATGCTCTGACATACAACCTCGGATAGGTCTTACATCTTTGGTGGATTCTCTCGACCTCTTCCACACAGGTTAACATCATCGAGCAGGGCTCTGAAATACAACCTCAGATAGGTCTTACATCCTTGGTGGATTCTCTCAATCTCTTCCACACAAGTTAACGTCATCGAGCAAAGCGCTCTAACATACAACCTCGGATAGGTCTCACATCCTTGGTGGATTCTCTCGACCTCTTCCATACGGTTAACGTCATCGAGCATAGCGCTTTAATATACAACCTCGAAAAGGTCTCGCATCCTTGGTGGATTCTCTCGACTTCTTCCACACAAGTTAATGTCATCGAGCAAAGTGCTCTGACATACAACCTCGGATAGGTCTCATATCCTTGGCGGATTCTCTTGACCTCTTCCACACATGTTAACGTCATCGAGCAAAGGCTCCAACATAGAACCTTGGATAGATCTCACATTCTTGGTGGATTCTTTTGACCTCTTTCACACAGGTTATGTCATCGAGCATGGCTCTGACATACAACCTCAGATAGGTATCACATCCTTGGTGGATTCTCTCGACCTCTTCTACATAGGTTAATGTCGTCGAGCAAAGGCTCCGACATACAACATCGAATAGGTCTCACATCCTTGGTGGACTCGATTGACCTCTTCCACACAGGTTAATTTTGTCGAGCAAAGGCTCCGACATACAACCTCGGATAGTTCTTACATCCTTGGTGGATTCTTTCAACCTCTTCCATACATGTTAACATCATCGAGCAAAGGCTCCCACATATAACCTTGGATAGGTCTCACTTTCTTGGTGGATTCTCTCAGCCTCTTCCACACAGGTTAATGTTATCGAGCAAAGGCTCTGACATACAACCTCGGATAGGTCTTATATTCTTGGTGGATTCTCACGACCTCTTCCATGTAGGTTAACGTCGTCAAGCAAAGGCTCCGACATACAACCTCTAATAGGTCTCATATTTTTTGTGGATTCTCTCGACCTCTTCCATATAAGATAATGTCATCGAGTAAAGGCTCTAACATATAACATCGGATAGGTCTCACATCCTTGATGAATTCTCTAGACCTCTTTCATATAGGAAAATATCGTTGAGCAAAGGCTCCGACATAAAACCTTGGATAGGTCTCACATCCTTGGTGAATTGTCTTAATCTCTTCCATACAGGTTAACATCGTTGAGCAAAGGCTTCGACGTACAACCTCTGATAGGTCTGACATCCTTGGTGGATTCTCTTGACCTCTTCCACATAAGTTAACATCGTCGAACAAAGGCTCTAACGTACAACCTCGAATATGTCTTACATCCTTGGTGGATTCTTTCGGCCTCTTCCCTATAAGTTAACACCATCGAGCAGAGCTCTGACATACAATATTGGATAGGTCTCACATCCTTACTAGATTTTCTCAACCTATTCCATACAGATTAATGTCATCGAGCAGTGCTCTGACATATAACCTCGGATAAGTCATACGTCCTTAGTGGATTCTTGTAACCTCTTTTATAGAAGTCAGCATCATCGAGCAATGTTCTGAGTGAACAAAATTCTCTCTATAAAGATTTCATGAAAGCAAGTGGTTGATAGAATCATCACTCATATAAAGACTTTAGCAGTCTAACAGTGCCTCCAAAAATATGGGGGGCGAGATATCAAAGCATATCTAAAAAATGTATAAAAAATTCAATTTTCTCTAAGGGATAAGTTCTCAACTTCATATACA